TCACTGAAAAAAGTAAAAGATATAACGTGGCCGCGCTGAGGTATGGAATTTCTCTTCCAATGTTGAAAAAGCGCAAACGAGTGAAATATTGTTTCAACTCGGGAAGAGAAATTTCTTATTAAAATAATATCCTTCAAAAGTCAAATGGTCGGCCCCTTAGACTTTTGAAAGGAAGCAGGAAATTTCTATTAAGAATGACTTTATTTCTGTTGAAGGCAAGAACATTTACTGCGGGGTCTAAAGTACAGGTCACATTCCACAAGTCAAAATTATAATTCTCTGTTCCATCGACAAATTAACAAACCACACAGATCCCCCTCAATGAAAACGGTGACCTGTATTCTGTCCTGTGGAAAAGGGACCAGAATTTTAGACCTATATCGACTTTTACTGAGATGACCCCTTCCTTTTCGGATTTTTCCCTTGACATTACAGAGCTTTTGATTCTGAGACGAGATTGACTATGAGGAGGAGATGTTCTCAGCAAGTACTAGCAGGGCTTCTCTTGTGTGAACCCGTCATTTTGGGGGGAAACGAGATAACCGTCCTTTTAAACATTGTACTCACTATCTGTCTCAGCATTGGCTGAGAGCCTACAGCTAATTTCGCATTGCGCGCAACCTAGCAGATAACTAACTAATCTGTAGGTTGCATGCCAGATTTCCAAAAATGATATCAATTCAGGTTCCTTGCAACGATGTGTTTGTCGTTATTTTCTTCAAAACAGTGTACAATAATCACTAGGTTCGGTTTTCGGGATATCCTAAATAATCAAGCTCTCGGTAAGTGTTCTTAGCCTCGGCCTTGGGTTCGGCTGATAACCCTTATCGCAGCCTTGATTATTCCAGACATCACGAAAACCTCATCCAATAATTGATAAAAGTTGAATGCCTAAGTTTTTAATGGTTTAAATTGTAACAATTTTTAGCCAAGACGTAAAACGAAGGGTCACCTTGGCAGCCAAAAAATGATGGATAGTAAATACCCAGAATGATAGTAGAAAATCATAGCCTGGGCTGATTAAAGGTGTTTTTTGTCTATATCATTGATTTAAATTGTATGCTCAAATTTGTAGTTAATTGCTGATATTATATGTTACTCACAGACAGTTGGAATTCGTATTGATGAGTCTTAGATTAGATTTCTGTTGAAATTGAATTTATCGATGTGCCAACATTATTTTTATGTAGAAGATGAAAATTTGAATAAACGACAAATCAGTGAGGTACGAGTGTGGCAAGGGAAAAATTTATTACCGTTTACGTGATTTTTTAAATTCCGGCGCTTTATAGTTATAGACAAAAATGAAACTCAATAAAAAAGGCAAAGCCGTGCATGTAGCTTGGGCAAAATCCTTCACCGATTATTAGCAATTTTTTTACTGCTATTGTTGTTTGTAGAAGTTTTAAAAGTAAAGTCTCATAGATGAACTCAGATAAACGTATCATTAATGTTGTGGGTAGCATGGGAGGATTAAAAACACGAAATCATCATTATCTTGGGAGGTTCTCAAAAAAAGTCAAGGAAGAAAAGGAAGACTTTCAGACGGAGCAAACAATCATTGTTTACAAATCATCGGCAACAACTCCTTGCTCTGCAAGTGGCATTTATCACTACAATCCCAAAAAACCGCAATATCAATTACTTTAATGGCGTAGAAAAACGGTTTTAAAGATGGATACCAAAGGCATTTGCACATAGTATAACGAGCCTTACACAAGTCTTTAAAGAATACCCTAAGCGATTCACAAGCCTTTCTTACACAAACCGTCAGTAATGACTCTTATACAAGCCCTCTGTAAGTATCTTACACAAGCCTTCTGTAAGCTTTCTTACGCATTCTGTAAGTATCTTATACAAGCCTTGTGTAAGCCTTCTTATGCGTTCTGTAAGTATCTTACACAAGCCTTCTGTAAGGACTCTTTACACAAGCCTTCTGTAAAGACTCTTAACTGAAGCCTTCTGTAAGGACTCTTACACTAGCCTTCTGTAAGTAGCATACACAAGTCTTCTGTAAACACCCTTACACAGGACTTTTGTAAGGACTCTTTATACAAGTGTTAGATACTTACACAAGCCTTCTGTAAGCACTCTTACGCGTTCTGTAAGCACTCTTACACAAGCCTTCTGTAAGTATCTTACGAAAGCCTTCTGTAAGTCATACACAAAAGAGAACAAAAACTTTTTACATAATTTTTAAGTGTAACAGAAAGCGTTTGTAAGAAGGACTTTTAGTAATGAGCTATTTTAATTAAATTGCGTTATTTAGTGACACAGCAACTAAAATAGGGTAATTTTGGTGCAGTGGAATATATAAGGTCTTGTATATTATATTCTGTTACTGTTTTTATATAAGGGTCTGTGCCCAGCTGCTAAGATTGATCCATTATGTCTAAAATATTATGCAGCAACAATTTTCCTTTTGTTTTTTAATTTTGTCATTTCTACAAAGCACTTGTAGCTCGACCCACGTGTTGCAGCTGCTCGAAAGAGAAGTCACCAATGGTGCCTAAGGTTGGGGTCGCACTTGAGACAAATATTTGAAATGTCTGAAGATATCGCAGACAATTTTGTCGCAGAACTTGTCCGAGACAATTAAAATGTTGTTTTGCGGTCGCACTGTAGAGACAAACATCAGAGACATCAACGTAAAGTAAACATAAGACCTGTCACTTCAGGCGCTTTTTTTTTTTTAATTTTACCGCATAAATTATTATTTCCCGCTCAATGTGTACAATAGAACGACCGCAATGAATCAGCGCGGGTTCGCTCTGTTTCTAGGTTTTTATTTCTATGTTCTCAACGTAAATGCAGCTAACGATGCTCAAAGAGTCATTCTTCTTTCTTCGCTCATACAAATACGAGCACTTCAAGCGCAACTTCTTTTGTGGAACCAACATCGAAGGAGGTGTCGAGGACATCGCTTTCCCTGTTTTTGGGTTTTGCCAAGACCACAGCAATCGTGGTTTGACATACACTATTTTGATGCTACAATTCCAGGAGACTATTTCAAGCGTCAGCTCCGCTTAAACAGAAATACGTTCTCGGTGCTGTTGAATATTCTTCGCCCGCGCCTGACAAGACAAAACCGCACTTGCGTGACTGTGTGACACCGGAAAAACGTTTGGCATTGGGACTGTATCGCTTGGCGCATGGAAATTCCTACATAACGATAGGCCCAAATTTTAACGTCGGAAAAAGTACAGTTATTGAGGTGGTCCAAGATGTTGTTGAAGCATTATGCAACTTAAGAAATAAGTACATCAAGTTTCCTTCGACAAATAGAGAAGTTCTGGCCACTCGAGAAACTTTTGACGATTTAACGCATCTCCCAAACGTGGTAGCAGCCATCGATGGAACACACGATAAAATTAACTCCCAAGGAAAGCGGACCCGATTATTTTAGTCGACTGCAGCAGCACGATGTTGTTGTCCAAGCGATAGCTGACGGAGGAAAACGATTTTTGGATGTCGCCGCTGGCTTTCCAGGGAGCATCCATGATTCCAGAGTCTTGAGAAATAGTTCACTTTATCGAAGAATTACCAATAATGAGCTGTTGCTCGGACCAACTGTGAGAGTTGCTGGGAGCGAGATTAGACCCGTTTTGTTAGGCGACAGTGCCTATCCCCTCTCTACGTGGTTACTAAAACCGTACCACAAGGGTATGAATAACCCAGAGGAAATCAACTTTAACAAAGAACTTTCACGTGCAAGGGTATCAGTAGAGTGTGCATTCGGTATACTGAAAGGACGTTGGAGAATTCTCCAGAAACGACTTGATAGTGATATAGCATTTACCAATCAGATCATCATCGCATGTTGTGTGCTCCACAATTTTTGCATTGAAGCCGGAGATTTATGGGATGATGACAATGATGAAGATGGAAATGATGACGATTTTCCTGTCTGAGATGGGAATGCTGATGGTGCAGATTTAAGAGACTTTTTAAAGAATTATCTTTGGAATTTGTAGGAAAGGAAGATTTAAAAAGATTATTGACACAATGCTGTGTCAGTTAAATGAATTATTTAATTGTTTAACACTTTCGTATTTCTATGATTCAAAATTATAGATAAGAATATAGCTTATAATGTCAATGAAGAATTTAGCAAAGGAACGTAAAAGTCGCCGATACGATACAGCAAAGTTATTGTTGACAATATGAAAAAAAACTTAATCAGGTTCATTTTTTTTACAAAATCAAAAGAGAAAGATTCTAAGTGATTGTTATTACTCAATGACATTTTTCATCAATAGAACTCTTATAGATAGACCACTTTTAAGTGATGTAATGAAACTGAGATTCAAAAACACTAACATTTACAATTTCAATCACATTTCGAATCACTCAACAATATCTAATTGTTTAAATTAAGAGAAAAGGGAACCTCGCAATAATTATTACATCAAAGAGATAATTGTTCTGAATCACTACTTGTCCGTTGATGATTGCATTGCTTGCATAAAATTGTTCATAAATTGATTCATGAGCTGGAGCTGCTGCGCTTGATTTCTTTCCATTGATTCCAGCAACCCAGAAATTTTGTCTCCCTGCTCCTGCAACTTCTTCATACTCTCGCGGAAAAGAGTATTGCCTTCTTCTTGTTCTTTGCGCGGAACTTTTGCATCTTTGGCGCGCTTTCTTTTGTCGTGTTGACTCTTCCTTTCCTTCTTTCATTTAAGACCAAAGGCGGCGAGAGACTGTTCGAATTCTTCATCGTCTTCTGGTCCTACCTCCTTTCCATTTGAATTAGGGGAACTCGAAGAAGATCCTGGCGCAGATTCTTCAATGTGACTGAATGTCATGATGTCACGACATCCAAAAACGGAGTCAATCTCATCATAAAATGGTGAGGTTTTTCATTTGCCCCCAGTCTTGTGACGGTTGTGGTCTTTGGCCTCCTTGTACCTATCTTTAAGGTATTTCATTTTCTGTTGGCATTGGGCACTGGTAACTTTTCGGATCTTCGAAATTTTCTGAGCAATCTCCTCCCAGACTTATCTCGCGTGCCGCGACTCTAGCCTCGTGTGCTTGTCACACCATAACTGCACAAGAAGCTTCTCCTCTTCTTCTCCCCATTTTTCGTACCCTCTTCCTGCTTTCCCCGAATTGCCAGACTCGGACGCCTCTTGGGGTTCTGGTGTTTCAGGTGGCATGGGAGCTAGAGGCAGTGGTGCAGTGCCAGAGCAGCCTGCTTGTGCCGGTTGGAGAGGCTGAAAGGGCGCCAAAACTGCCGTCGCTGGTGGAAAGGTGTTCTGCGGAATTTGCTGCCTCAAGAACAATTGCCCTGGCCTATAGCGGTCTTGTGCTTCATTTGGGTTCATCATTTGATCAGAATGGATGTCCCAAAAATCGGGAAAATTGTTTCGAAATCCTGTATTCATTATTAGCCGTGAACGATACGAAAGTCACAACAAAAAGTGAAATGTGAAGCAGGAAAAAATTTTAAGGTTCACTGAATTGACTGACAGGTTTACTCTGAGGCAGGACGACGGCACTTTTGAAGATTTGTCTCCGTAGACAAGTTTTTGTTTGCGTCGAGACAAGTAGGTCGCACTTGGCATGGTCAACTGATGACAGGAAGTTGACGGATTTTTTGGTTATCAAAACAAACTTGTCTAAGTTTTGTCTCAAGTGCGACCCATGCGTAACCCTGACCCCAAACAATACTAAAACAATTGAAAGAATGGCATGTCATTGTTTCCTGCCACCACCGAATTAAGAGAGAGACCTTCCGAACAGCTCTTACACTACCCCGTATTATTAACTGTTATGAACATGTTGAAGGTTAAATCAAATTGTAATCATACCTCTTCAGATAGAACAAATACGTTTTCCTCGCGGTCGGAATTCGTTTTCTCGATGACTGTGGTTCCAATTCGGGACACGTAGTTGTCGCTCTTGAGGAAGGCGTTGATTTTTTCAACCAAAATAGCCTTGAACATGTTTTCGCTGAGAGAACACCAAGCCACCGCCTTGCTTTTCTAGTGCACTATTTGCATAACGAACAAATTGGTCCCTCTTCGGATTTGCTGGTATGAAGGCTGTTTACCTATGGTAAAGAGAAAAAAAACAAAATCCCATTAGAATACGATGCAAACAACGATGTACCTCATGGTTAGTAAGTATCGTGATTTTAACGTTTTTGATCTGAAAATACAATGAAAACTGACTCAGGAAAATTATCAGTCACAAAAAAGCTCGTCAAAATTGTTCACCCCTTTTGAGAAGAGGAAACTGTGACCCTAATCAACTATCAAACGATAAAAAAAATGTTTCTCTAAAATGAAAAACTCCTTATGATAGGTGTGGCTTTATTCTTCCATGCATTATAAGTTTTGCGAGTTTATGGGTGGCGGCCAAGTGAATCTTCATAGCTTTCCCTTTCGAGATATAATGGAATCTCACATAGAAATTTAAAAACGTTTTAAGAACTATGCTTCCTTTCTCATAAACTTCATACTACTTGATCTGTCGCCAGTAACTATCAAATATTCAGAAATACATTGTTACACTTACTTTTCCGCTTCTTTGCAAAACACCTTGATTTGTATGATGTAGCTGTTGGTTGGGCCCAACACTTGAACGATCGGCTGGAAAGTAAAGTTTGATCCCGCCGTGATCTTTTTGATGGTTTTCCCGTTCTTCTTTTCTTTCCTCCGTATACACATTTTACGGTTCTTCTCCACATATTTTGTCTTTGGCATTGTTGTTGTTGTCTTAACGGGTCAAGAAGCACATGGAAAATGATACCGAAGCCTCAGGAGCATGTGTTCTTATCCAGGCAGATGCCTGCTGACTGGACAGGTAGGTACTTTGATAAGTGATTATCTCAGCAGGCAATATGTTTTCGACATTTGTCATTAGAGTATGCCAACCACCGTGAATGAGAAAAAAGGATTTAAAAAGAAAGTGATTTCTATCAGCGCAACCAATTTTGTAGTTATAAAAAAATGTGGATAGGACAATCGAAGTTAACATCTATCTTGTTAGCTGCTTCTTCCTAGAACTACTTTGACAGTGACGAATGGGCATCCCGAGAACATTACAGAATAACATTAGAGCAGGTGACTCGGGACTACTTCGTTTTTCAGGAAGCAGAAAAGTAGAGAGAAACTTGAGATTTTTTCGCATACATCCAAAGCCGTGAGTTTACATGTAATAATTTTTCTAAGCAAACAATGAATAATATGGCGTCCTTAAAATGTATGGGTTCCCAGTTCGCGTTGTCAAACTCACCCCAAAAAAAGATGCTCACGTGATAAAAAGGAACAAGGCAGTGTAAAATCCCGGGGGTGTGTACTCGACAAATTTTTATACGGGGAGGCTCAGTCCCCTGGTCCAACCCCCTTACATTTTATATACCATTTTTCACGAAAAAGGTATCCTTTCACATACCTTGTTTAGAGCTTTGCATCCCTTTTAACTGCTGTAAATACATTGTCTTTTAAATAAGAATCAGTCACAAAAATAGAACGTTTTTCGAATTTAAAATTCATCTGTTAGCTATTTTGGGCATTTCACAGACCCATCCTTAACAAAATTTCTACCCTGTAAGAGCTCTGTAGCATCACTGGAAGAGGGTTGTAAAACTAACCTGTAACAACCCTGTTACAGCTCGTCATTTAGCACAGTTAGCAAGGCTGTTTCTTCACTGTAGCGGCCTTGGAACAGCCCAGTCACATTTAACTCAAAATTTCTTAGTAGACACCCTGTAACAGCCATGTTACAACCCTGTTTCTACTCTGTGATGGACATCTGTTACCCCGCAAAATGTAACATTAACGCGAAATGTAACAACTTTTGACGCGAAATGTAACATTAACCCGAAATATAACAACTTTTGATGCAAAATGAAACAATATTTTTAACGCGAAATGTAACAAGCAAAATGTTACAGCCTTGAAATAACTGAGAGCCTTGGACATGAGCCTTGTAGATAAAGTGTAAATTGTCTGGTGGTTACAAAAACAGTTTATTCATAAAGTTTTCTTATAATGTCAAATAAACTTACAAAAGGTCGTAAAACATATGATAAAGTGACAAGTCATGTATAACCTTGGAATAGCAGTATGTACAATAACAACAACGCTAACTTATTAAACATAACGTATGGAAAATATCCCAAGCTATGCGAAAAGAATATGACTAGAAATGTGAGCAATAACACCGTAGGAAACACACACCAATCAGCAATTGAAATACAAGTTAAAAGTAAAAGTTAAGAATGGTAATCTTTTAAAAGAAAATTTTGAATGTAGTCAATAACATAGATATGAAATTTCTCGTTTCTTACTGGACTTCCAGTAAATGTGAGAAATTTCATACCAACCCAGTCCTGCTGGCTTAAAACTTGACCATGCTAACGCCCATGTAACATTGTTGACTATCTCACGCAGTCAGATGACTGCTCCACTACACTTTCCTTTTAGGGAAAAGGGGAGGAGGGGGGTAAAAACAGACAGCGTCGGATAAAAACAGAAAGCGTCTTCACCCGATGAAAGTGTGAAAAGAATGATTGGTAATCGATACTTGCCTCGATTTCATACGGGCTCAACTCCCTAGAGGGAGTATGCTAAAAATGTACCATCCTAACCCATGTAATATGTCCTGGATTATGTAACGCCAACTTTCTTTTAAGCGTCACACATAAGTACAGAAAGATATACTAAAAAACAACTCGTTTTTTTACTAGGTACCAATGTTGTGATACTCCCTCACACAATCTACACTTTAGACAGCAGCCGTTCAACTTCTATACATTAAGACTATAATTTTTTATAACTTCATATCTATTCAAGATGAAACTTCATCTTTTTTAGGCATATTTGCACTCATGAAAATTCCTGAAGCAAGGGAACGATTTGTGCCACAAAAAGGTTAAAAGTTGAACCACCAACGGCTAGTTTAGTCTGTTTAGTCACTTAAGTAACAAAAGCAATGCATTTCAACAAACATGCAGACCTCGTACAAAATGCAGCATTTCACAATCTTTCAAGACAAATTGCATTCATTCCATATTCAGGACCATCGAAGCATGCGTGGACTTTGACTTTTAATTAGCGAATAGTACCGTTCAAAAAATTTCCAAAATCACCTATACGGCCATCCGGTTCTAACTTTTGACAAGCGCCAAATTTGCGAAGAAATTTTAAAAACAGTTACCCTTCAACGTGATAAGGAATTTATTGAGTCTATTTTTTATTAATGGCTTTATAACAATGTGTAATCTTAAAAAGCGTTTGAGACGCTTGGCATTTTGAGTACTCCTGCAAGCGATGTTTATGAATGGCTGAAAACAAACGGCAAAGCGATGAAAATCACACTTTTGAGACTACCAACAATCAATAAAAAATATCATTCGGTAGAACATTTACAGAGACAACAATTTTCATTCACGAAAACAAATGAGTATTTAAGTGTCTCTAAGAATCCTCAAGTCTTTACTAGTAAGCTTAAAGATTAAGTTTATGTTTTAAGCCGCCGGTTTCCCGGTGTTTGCTGTTTTCAAAGATGACTCACGACAAGAAAATCGCTCAAAGCTTTCTTTCTACAGCCAAAATTATAACTAAATATTCTTCGGAAAGTTTTTTCTTCCTATTTACGGTGAATTAATATCGACTAAAGGCTTTGTAAAGTTTTGTAAGCTTAAGCTTATATCAAACCTCATACTAGGTCAGATCGGTGTCTCAGTCAAATCTTAATACTAACGTGCATAAACTAGCTTCATAAACTGCGCCACGAGTAAATTGTCAGCGGATAACTTCAAAAAATACTCGACCTCGATGGGTGGACACCTGAGCCCGCGATACGCCCAGGTGATACTGGTCAGCGGATACCCTGTTTTGACAGCTGTCAATTGATGACAACATTGATGTGCAATCAGCATTCTCCTGGGCTGAGTAGCTAGAAAGTGTGAGAGTAAACATTGGTATGCCTGTGGTGCGGACGGACGGTCGGTCGCTCGGTCACGTGATTACCAAATTTTCTGGGATGGGTAGATTTATTTACCCATGGTGCTCCGCAGGCGCGCTTCGCGCGCGGAGCTCCGCTAATAATTTTTGTTTGGTTGGTTGTAACAAGCTTAATTAGAAATCGCTCACCTCGATTGTCTTTCCTTCATGATCCACAATGTGTTACATTTCCTCATGAAAAGAGCCAATCCATTTGTGTTCAGATGTTGCAGAATTGTTCAATGGTGTACTAAATGAACTTGCATTGTTACTAGGCAGGGAAAACAATCTTTGAATCTTGCAAGTGCCATTGAATGTTTTCTGTCCACTAGATTGATCAGTTTCCCATTCGTTGAGAGCTGGTTAAAGCACAGTTATTTTTTTGCTAATACTTTTTCACTCTCTGCTTTAAAAGCAGCAAAAAACGCTCTGCAACCTTTTTGAATCCAAACTGGGTGGAGAAAACGTTTGAATTTGTTTGCCTTTCATTCAAATAATCGTGAGTCGTTTCAGGAATGGACATGTGTAATGCGATCTTCTGGTAAAAGTACTGACCAATAAGATTTAGGTCTTCCATTTCTCCAGGGAATTACGGATGGCACGTCTGTCACGGAATGAAAATATCTCTAAGGAAAGAATTTCCATGCTTGCAGAGGTCTCTCACGCAGGAAAACAAATTGAAGTGATCTGAAAGTCTTTCATTTTCAGAACATTGCTGTAAAAAAGTAATTAAGTTACAGCAAGTTTTATTTAAAGTGCTACTGTGATCAAATCAAGCATCATTTGTTCTTTTCGTTTTTTACAATGTTTGAAAGCTAATAAATACACATACCAAATTTGAGACCGTAATTCCAACTGGAAGTCCGACTTTTTGAGCCATGTTTTTCTCCGGTGGACGTCCGCCATTACCGAAACAAGAAATGGCGCAGCGAAAGGGAGGGATTGGTTCGAGGTCAAGCGTTACGTCATCCTATCCTTTAAATTAGAGTGCGAATATTAGCAAAGTGAGGTCTCTTCACGAGGAAAAGGGGATTTCTGATCTCGCTCATTTTCATTGCCCAAAGATGCCTTCTTGTCGCTGCGTCGTTCAAGACTGTAGCAACAAGTCAAATCCTAAATTAGGCATTTCTTTGCACAAGCCGAAGACTAGCTTTGAAAGACAGAAATGGAAAGCCTTCGTCCGAACACATCGCGCTAACTTCAACCCCAAAGGGCTCTTTAAGATTTGTTCAGTTCATTTCACTGCCGATTGCTGCGAGCGGGCAGTTCATGTACCTGGCGCTCTGAGAGTTACAGTTGCCGGAGCCATTCCAACGATTTGGAAGTTAGGTGAAGCGGGCAATTCCAGTGCCATGTCAGCGAGAGACCGGCGTATGGTAAGTATTACCGCTAAAACATTGTAGACCTTTGATCCTTGTTCACACGTACACTTCCTGGGATCGTGGCATTTCAGCTTCAAGCTGGCATAAGTAAGGGCAAGATGCTCCGCACCAGAACATCTTTTTTTCTAAAGCACAGACCTAAACTACATGCACACTGAGTAATGAACAGATATGACAAGAACTGAAAGCCCAATAGTGGTTTTGTCGTGTTTCGCGCGTTCGAGCGAAAATGAATGAGTCACTTATACAGTGTTTTGATTGCCTTCACTGCAGGCGTTCAACTCGTAAAACAAACAATATTTTTTGGTTCTTTGAGACTGCAAGATCATTTATTAATGCTGAACTGTAAAATCTTGGTTAAAAAATAAAATTATGGATTTCCCGATCAATATCTTTACACCTTCAGTGTTTTTTTTTTTTACTGGAAAACTAAATTCTGGTTTGTAGGCAATGAAACATATCCTTGCCGTGCACGAAGCTACAACCAGTCGCAAAAAGACTTGAGACATTGTACCTAATTTGGACGTCAAGGATATTTATAAGGTCCTCGCGTTTTAGACCACCCCTCTCCCTTCTCAAAGTTGGTCACAATAGGAGATCATGCTGAAATTTTCGAAGAACAACATTGAAAATAGGGGAGGGTGAGGGGAGTTGCTTAATCTTACAGATGTAGGATTTTATGCGATGTTTAGTAAGAAAGAGTGTTTTCCAGGTCAAGTGTCTCAACATTTTTGCAACTGGCTGTCTGAGCACTGTGACCATGTGTACGGACCCGGTTCTTTTATCGATCGGCTTAATAGTTACTGTAGTGATGTCTATTTAGGAGGAGTTCCCAAAAAATAGGGTTTCATGATATTGGCTTGTGCGATGTGAAAATGGCAGACGAAAAAAGGCAATTTTCAGCTGTTTTAAGGATGACATAATCGGTGCGACTGACGTTTCTTTCGGGTACCAAGGTACAAAACATGCCCGCATTGACAAATAAACAAGCAGCGTGAGTTTTTTCCCATTTCATTTGTCTGTAACGATGTCATTTAAACGTAATTACTGAAAAAAAAAGGTGAAACAAGTTTATTAGCGCGCGTTGGTTGAGCAAACAGTCCTAAGATAAACAAGATAAGGCACTACTCACGTGTTAGAAAGGTACATAAAGGAACGGTGCGTTGTGATCGCCTGCCAATCAATGGAGAGAGATTGATGCACAGTAATCAATATTGGAAATCAAACGTTATCGAAGGTAGTCTCGAATATTCCCTAATTTGTAGGAATTATTTCAAGTTACCGGTAGTCATATTTCACAACATTTGACGTAATCACACTAAGGTGATTTGAAAGTTACTCTGCATAGACTACAACATTGATGTTTGCGCGGCTCGCGGGTTACGGGGTTATTTCTTTGCTGCTAAAGTGGTTTGCAATGGATTTTCTCCAGGAATATGAAGGTAGTGATTCGGAAGCGACAGATGTTTATAACAGCACAAACATTGACGTTAAACCTAGCGACAAGGGTGCTTCAACGAGTGTTCTAAATGTGAGAGCTGTCCGACAAGTGTATTTAATCACCTATAGTCAGGTGGATTACACAAGTTCCCTGACAGAAATTCATTTGTGCAAGCTGTTCTCCGCTCTTTTGACAGTAGTAACACAAACGTTGAACACTGGGTTTGTTGTAACGAAGTGCACAAATCCACGGGGGGATACCACTATCATATGGGAGTGAAGCTACAGTGAGTAGCTACAGTGAACAACGAGTGTTCTAAATGTGAGAGCTGTCCGACAAGTGTATTTAATCACCTATAGTCAGGTGGTTTACACAAGTTCCCTGACAGAAATTCATTCGTGCAAGCTGTTCTCCGCTCTTTTGACAGTAGTAACACAAACGTTGAACACTGGGTTTGTTGTAACGAAGTGCACAAATCCACGGGGGGATACCACTATCATATGGGAGTGAAGCTACAGTGCTGTAAAAGGTGGTTGTCTTGTAAACGGTACCTAGAAGAAAACTACGGTATCTCCGTGTACTGTGGGGGGGGACAGGGGGGTGACAACCTCCCGCTTCCCGTACCCCGTTCTCCCGCCTCCCGTACCTTTTTGTTCCTTTGTCTCCCGACTCCCGCCCTTTATTGTATTTTTCCCGTCATCATGTAAATTATAAAGATCAGAAGCCCGGGTTTAGTGTTAAAGCTGTAGGGTAATTTGCCAAAGATGAAAATTGTTACAAGTCAGTTTTCTTAGTTAAACTGAGTTTTCACTAACCTGGTTATCTAGGTTTGACCACCGCTTCTGACATCCCACTACAGTGACAATAGTCTCAGTCCACTGTGCAGTGTAATAGCTATTGCAGTCATCAAAGATGCATTAACATGCATTTAGGAATCCCGCAATTACGGGGATCATGCCAAAATGAAGTCGAAGGGCCAAACGTTACGATAGAGTTCAGTACTCCTGTCTAGTTCCCAGCGTTTAATTGTACTAATTGCATATCCACCGCGGTTAGTTTTCGTTATTTTTCGTAAGAAGTCGTAAGCTATAAAAACTGACTTCAACGAGACAATAACTGCATGTTCGTTAACCGTTTGCATTTTAAAGCGTTCAGTTTAGTGCTGCTGGAGTATTATTGTTAGCTGGTTATCAAATCTCAAACCTATTCATGTTTGCTCGAGAAGTTGTATCTTTCATCAAACATCGGCGGGGAGGTTTAACGGTTATACATACATTTTTACATCGGAATGATGCATCTATGTCCGATTTTAACAAGAAGCATTTGAAGAAACGAATGCTCTGCTCTTATTGGCTTATTACGAGTTAAATAACAGGACAGGGAACAGGTTGCAATATGTGTAAAAAGTGCCCGTATTTTGCTATAGTAAACAAACTAGAAAAAGTCTTCCATGCGCCGAGGAGGTCGCACTGATCTCCTCCTACTCCAAATGTTAGTTAGAGCAGTAAAGTCTGCCTCCTCTTCCTCCGAGTCGAGGGAACTTTTCTAAAATTACAGTGCAAAGTGCTAGGAAATGACACCTACCGTGCAGTTCGTAATCTTTGTTATCTATGAAGTCCAACCGGACAGCGTCCCACGCTGTTTGACTTCCTATTCTAATAGGCAGTGCTTTGGCCTTATCCAAAACAAAAATTGCGTTGTATATCTAACCACTCCGCACTCTCCAGCACGATCGGTGAATTTGCATTCCCTGGACACAAGTTTGCACCACGCCGTAAAATCTTTAGTGTTTTGCAAACTACAATCGTACGGAGCGAGCTCCCAGGAAGGTCTTCCATGTACGGATTTTTCCACACCACACCGAAAAATACTTAGACCGATTAAAATGGTCTTTGACGACATTTTATGCACCTATCAATGTAATGCCGGCGGGGGAGGCAGGGCATAGGGTGGGGATTTGACTTTTTTCAAAAATTTGCAATCAAATTCCCTGCCCACGGGCAAATCATTCCAGCCAAATGCAACCAAATTTCCCCACCCCAGGCTGCACATTGCTGTCAGTCCCAAGGCAGCACCAAAGAAAGGCACAATAAAAATATCTCCAAATAAAACTCTGCAATCTTTTATAAACGTTGCTGCATCACCAAAGATATATGTTCCTGTTACAGCTGCAATTATACGTTTTAACCATAATCCGTGTCACACTGGGTAGAATACATAAACCTTTAGGAGAAAGTCCACATTTTGAAAGTCTAGATATACCATTCTTAGTAAAGGGTACAAACAAAGTCAGTTTTATCAGTGATTGTAGCGAACGAGCCATACACTAATCAACTGTACTTGCAAAAATCGGCTCGGTTTCTCTTTACTTCCGTTTACTTTGATACCACATTATATTAACAGGTTCAATTGATCAAAAACACCCTAAAACAAACGAAATTTGAAGACAAAACAGTGAAGTCCACTCAGCCTTCGCTTGCTCTCATTGGCCTCCATGACTTCCTGATCTTTTCAAACCGTATGGCGCGTGCGTGAAGCGTAGAAGCGGGAAACACATGTTCGGTCTCAGTCTTTTTCGTGCGAGTCGGCAGTCAAATATCTCCACGTCGGGCGAAGAAAGATTCAAGTATCCCCTCCCCCGGGAGAACAAGATCAGTTAAATGCCCTACCCCAGGGACAACAAAGACAATCAAATCCCCACCCTATGCCCTGCCCCCCCCCCCTCCGGCTTTACATTGATAGGTGCATTACCTGCGAGACAGGTCAAACAGACGAGACACTGACACGACTTACACAGTCGACACACGTGCACATGTGTCACGCCACCTCATTCATGAGGACTCGTGACCTATGATGTAACCGACTTGGAAAGGTTTCCAATTTCACCAGAAGTAATGCTCTTTTTTCAATCCCGAGTGCGAATTTACGTTTTTTGACTTTTCTCGCATTAAAATTTTGATTTAGGGCCTCGGAGAACGTTAAATGGAAGTCAAGAAACGTTGTTGAGTTCGTTTCTTTGACTGGATGATGAGCAGTAACAATTAACGAAAGCTTGCCTTTTGGAATTTCTCTCCCGCTTCCCGCCATCATAGAGATCCCGCTTCCCACCCTTTCTTCTCCCGTCTCCCGTACCCCTCCCGCCCCCTGTTCTCCCGGGCTCCCGCCCCCCTGTCCCCCTCCACTGTACTTCTCCGACGTACATCATAACTATTACAGTGCGTGGAAATACACAACGAAACAGGATAAATTTGTTGTGGAAAGTGACGGTCATCCCAACTTGTCCGATTGTAAAGGCCCTAAAACTGAAACAGCCTCACTTTGCCGGAAAAAGTACATTGAAGATAGTGACGACGATGAAGAGGAATTCTCGGAGGAGTTCTATGAAAGTCCTTCTGATGGTGCGAGTGAGACATGCCATGAAAGTGATTCGAAAGGTAAAAAAAGGAAAAAGCGCTTGTCTTCATTTGAACTCTCAGAAATAATTGTAACAAAGGAAATAAAAACTCACACGCAACTGTTGGCTTATGCGAACAACCAAAAGTGCGAGGGAAAAAAACGACATTGCACAGTTTATCGTCAACAGAGGGCCCCGCGTAGTCTCAGAGGTTTTAACCACAGCGTGGGAAATGCGGAACGCGCAACAGAAGCTGGAAAGATCACAGAAAACTCGTGTTCAAATCTTACAAGAAGCAGCACAAGGCGAATGTATTGATGGTTGTAATGGAGAGTGGCTCACTTGTGCATGTGAGGTGTTACAACAAAACGGTATTCGAAAGGAAACTTTTACAAAGGCAATAAAAGAACTCCTGGAAAAAGGCCGTAGCAAATTTGGAAATGTTATGATCTGCGGCCCAGCAAACACGGGGAAGACATTTCTACTAAACCCACTCACAAGTGTGTACAGAACTTTTTGCAATCCCGCTTGCACGTCTTTTGCGTGGGTTGGAGCGGAAGACACAGAAGGCATTTTCTTAAATGATTTTCGCTGGTCATCCCAAATAATACAGTGGCATGATTTTCTTCTTTTGCTTGAAGGACAGATGGTGCATCTTCCGGCACCCAAAACTCATTATGCTAAGGACATTGCTTTGGAGAAAGATACTTGTATTTTCTGTACAGGAAAACAGCCTTTCGTTTAAATTAAAAATGGCGTGATCGATGAGCGAGAAACGGAGATGATGTCTGTAAGATGGAAGATGCTTTGCTACCTTTATATTACAATGATGACAAGGTCGTTTGCGTTAGGAGAGAAGTGACAAGAAATAGCTAACTAAGCACTGACGATCTACACGGTCTACACAGTCTACCACAACAAGTGACTTTAAAAATACATATGATATCATATTTCTTACTGTTGTGATGGTAGACCGTGCTTAATATGGTAGACCGTCAGAAAATGAAATAGGACAAAGATAAGTGTCTAATTCCAGAGTGAATTTTATTTGAAAGCATTTCTTATGAAATAGGATTGACTAGAAATAACAATCGAGCAAAGGTTTTGTTGTGTGTTGTGGTTGTCTTTGAAACGTCATGCAGTGATTCCCAACATGTGACACTAAACCTAAATAGCGTGACATTATTTTTTACGTTACAAAATAAAGGAAATATTAAACTCTGTTACTCTGAATCGATATGCCCCCCATGCTATACCCTGACCGAAAAACAAATATCATTTTCTTCAGTATTTGGTACGACGACCTCTGTTCACTAAAATTTAATCTAATCGCTCGTACATTGAGGCGACAGTGTTGTCAACAACTTCTCTTCGTACCGAGTACAATGTACTTTCTACTCGTTGTGCAAACTCTTCAAATGTCTCTGATGTAATATTATGTCTTATGGCTTGCCTTCTCAACTCACGCTTTACTACACTAAAGACATTCTCGATAGGATTTAAATCGCCGCTCCGCTTAGGAATAGGAAATAACTTGCCACCGACATCTTTCAAAGCTTTTCTCGCCTTTGCACAGTTCAAAATAGGACAATTATCTTGCACAAACAGCTTCAAGCCACGTTTTCCGCTCTTTCTGAACATTTTCGGGAAATTTCTTCGCACAAAATCCGCCACAAAATTGCCATCCAGCTTATTATACTGTTCGCAATAAATAACACCCTTTCCGTATAATATAGCTACAATCATTTTTACAACTCTCCCCCCTGAGTCCACATGAGAACCCTTCGCAGTATATGTGAGTCCTTCATTTCACTTACGCCAAACCTTCCCGTGAGGAGCTCTTGCATCATTCATAGGATTGCTTTTATGATAAAAACTCACCCCATCGAGGTAGAAACAAATGTCAGTTTTAAAAAAGTCTTTAGAATAACTACTTTGAACAGTTCGCGCAAATTGATGTCTCTCTGCCTAATCCTTTTCAGTTAGCATTCCTTTCCTTCTTGCTTCCATGAACCCATACCCCAGCTGCTTTAAAGTTCGATTCATGGTGCACAAAGAAACATGATGTAATCCCGATTCGGCTCGTAATTGGTGACACGAAAAATTTCCTTCCGCTATGCGGAGCCTTGCAATATTTCGTACGATAATTTGTTCATCCCGCAGACTGATTAGCTGAGGCCTCCCTCGTAACTTTCTATCTTTCTCGCATTTCTTTGCGTTTAAACAACGATAAATAGATCCGCGAGATATTCCACAGAGATCTACTATTTCCTGCACAGTCAAGTCACCTTCTTCACGCAGAAATCTCACATATGCCTTGCTTTCAGCGTCTATTTTTCCTGTGTAAACCATGTTGTTTTATGCCACGACAGAAGAGCATGCGCTAAGTTACGTCACAAACAAAAAGTACAAAATTCGACGACTTCGAACGAGGTTTTTGGAGTACAGAATGTGCAATTAGAAACCTCCAATGTGTATCAGTGTACTAAGCAGATGTTCTCTTTTACAAATAACCTGTGAAAATTTCCCGGTCTTCTAATACAACCGCGAAATCGAATAACAGCTTACCTCTGCATTTAGACAACCAGTCGCAAAAAGACTTGAGACATTGTACCTAATTTGGACGTCAAGGGTATTTATAAGGTCCTCGCGTCTTAGACCCCCCCTCTCCCTTCTCAAAGTTGGTCACAATAGGAGATCATGCTGAAATTTTCGAAGAACAACATTGAAAATAGGGGAGGGTGAGGGGAGTTGCTTAATCTTAGAGATGTGGGATTTTATGCGATGTTTAGTAAGAAAGAGTGTTTTCCAGGTCGTGTCTCAACATTTTTGCAACTGGTTGTAGCAACGTGGCCACCTCGCAACAACATGAAGACGATTAAGAGTTTGATTCACCCGCAAGTGGGGAATCTGCGGTGCAGGTATGTCCAGCTACATGTTTTTTTTTTTTTAGGCATCTCACATTGGTGACTTTATAGCCTTTCACATAAATGGCAGTCGGTTTGTTATTATTTTGTATGAATCCATTAGAGCTACTGGCCTATATGTTGGAGTTAAATTTGTTTATATTTTTCTGATAAGTTAACTCTGAATACAAAGAAGAGGTTATTGGCCACCATTCATGAAAAAAGGTAAATTAGATATAGCTTCTTTGTTTTTCTAAGGAAGCTGGAGAGGGAGCCGGACAGTAATGAAATTGAAGAAATGGAAGAAGAGGTTGAGGAGTATGCAGTAACCGATCCCCTTTTGTCATCAAACTCAATGCAGGTATTTCCGGGCAGACTTCCACTTGCTTTGCTTAATAAATGGCATGCTTCTTACATTCTTATCAAAAATCATACTTATTGTTAGGTTGAACAAACTACTGAAACAACTCCAACAGAAAGTTCAGTGCATGCAGATATGGATACAAGTAACTCACTGTGCTCATCAAGCTTGGTGATAAGGGATTTCTTTTATTTCAAAGAAAACGTGTAACAGTACCATAAACACCCGTTCAATTTAATTGGGACTCGTTCAATATAATTGGGACTAATTGCTGTTAGCTGTTATTGCCTGTTATCAGCCATTAGAGCCAATCAGGATCAAGATTATCTTAGGCTAAGAGCTAGTCTAATGTTATCAGATAACAAACCCATTAGATCCAATGGCAAGCTTGTTAGTGAATAACGGGATAACAGCTAATAACAGCTAATAATACTTCACCCATTATACCCAATCACAAGTTTGTTAGAGAATAACGGGATAATATGTTACATTCCACAAGTGTGAATTTGACCCGTGAGGTAAAAATCTATTTCATGACAAGTCAGTGCATCATTCTCGAGTACATACTGGAAGGCTGCACGCATATATGCACATTTGATCCATTAGCTGCCGTGAACTCATCTAAAACTCTTTTTGGTTTATTTATCATGTTTTTGAAAAACGTCAAAATTTTACCGTTTTCAAATAACCGATAGGCTTTTTAACCCAGCACCTACGAAACAGTGGAATGTTCAAGAATAGAACAAGAAAATCAGAAAATTACTTTATGATCTTTGAAGAAGCGTAGCTCATAACGAGCATGCAACTATCCAACGATCTCTCGATAATAGGTCAGTGATACAATAGTTGTGAATAGGAAACAGAACAAATCAGCACTGCCCAGAGGAAGTTTATCAGTTATCAAGTGACAATTGCTGACATTCCAGCCCATTCCTGCACGCAAATTTCTTAGACAGTACACTAACACATTTATTTTCTTAAGTTAAAACGATCTTTACACTTCCCTTTATTTCACCTTGATTTAACGATGAAATCTGTTTAGAATGAAAAGAAAGGCAAACTTGACGTCACCTAAGGAAAAACTGCCGTTTCCGTTTTTCATTTTGCACTAAGCATCACTTTTTAAACACATATTTATACGTAAAATGTATTAACTTTTATACAGAAAAATTTTGAAAGGCCAGAAAGGTTTTACTCTGACACGTTTTGAGAAACCTTTTGTTTGACCATTATTCGGCGATCGATCAGATTTAAAGGGCACATTTTTACGCGCCCTAAAAAGTTGTTAGAAGAAAGTAGCGAGTATAAGTTATTTAGTCATACGGCGGCGGGACTTGACGGAACGCAAACAGAACGTTACAATCTAATGGCATACGAGCGACTGCAGGCATCTCATGACATGTCGACTTTGAGATAACTATCAACGGCTTTGAATTCTTTCCATGTGCGAGAAAACAAAAAGTATGCAGACAGGACCAAAGCGGCAATATGTTATGGCGATAATGGCCGATAATCAAGGCACCATCAATTGTGATGAATGGTGAACAAATCTACTCTTTTTGCTGAACATTTTAAACGGTATTACAAACACTCTCTATTTGAGTCATGCTTGTCACAAAACTCTTTCATTCCCATTCATATTAAACAATTACTTTCGTTATCCGTTTTGGCGCCAAAGTCGGTACCTTTGCGCCAACTTTAATTCTCGTCACGTCTACTGGTGTAAAATCGATGTAATGGAAACAGAAGCCTGTTCGAAGGTGCAGTAGAAAACTCAAAGTTTCTTACGAAAAGTTCCCTTAAGAATCGACATATTATAATGCCCCCCCAAAATAATATAAAACGCTTACCTCAGGTGGGTGTTACTTCATTTTCATCTGGAAGAATATATCACAAAAAGTATTATGATGTGTATGTATCCTTTCGCGTCCAGCAATGGCCTTTTTTCTCGTCTCTCTTAATTCCGGAAGTGAGTTTCGTTTACGACACCTTTCGGAAGTAAAAATTTCGAGGACTACGCTTTCTGCTCTCATTTTTGGACTTGCCCCAGAGCAAAAGATTTCCCTAGGAATTCTCCATGTTCACATGAAAGGACGGCTTATGTGGGAGAGTGGGTACGCACACAATAGCCCTTTCTGCTCTCGTTAACTTTAACAACCGGCTAATCGACATTTTCCGGCTGTACTCTCTTCACTATTTGATATTCCCGTATTCTTGCATTTAATCAATTTTGTATATACATTGTTTTATTCAAGTAAGCATGATTTAAAGTATACTACATATTATTTTAGACTTTATTTTTCCGAGCATGGAATTTGCTGACAATAAGAAAACCGTGACTCAGGCTTGAAATGTCAAGCGGGCAACATTTTTCGGCTTATCTCTGTTCTCCCCCAATCGCGAATTTTAACAACTTTTCTTATCAAATGTTTTATTCGCGTGAAATATGCTACAATAGATCACATTGATTAAAACGTGTAGTCATTAAGCATTCTAATGGAAGTAAAACCGTGACTTATCGTGAATCAGTGTGTAAATTAATATAGGTACAAAAATCATTGTACATAATTGTTCTACTGGTCCACTTTGTGATTTTAGCACTTTAAAATTTTCTAAAAACTTGCAACAAAAATTATTGTCAGATTGCCATACTCACAAACAAAAGAAAAAACACTTCAATAAACCAAGGGTAAAAATTGAAGCGCCAACATATTTTGCAGAGTCTTTCAAATAATGCTATGCCGGGCTAACAAAATCATAAATCGGAGGTACAGCTGTCTCGGGTTACAACCACGATAAATCTCGACAATCCTTTATTAATGGATAAATAAATCTAGAAATAAGTGTGCATGCTTGACTTTAACTATGGTAAAGAACATTTCATACGTATTCGGGCTGGACAGATTCAGCCACTTACAACACCGGCTCATTTTTAACCGGCCCTATGTGTCTTCTTCAGTTTCGCAACATGCACACAGAAAACGCCAAAAATACTCCAAATACAGGGAATAGATAAAAATATTTGCCACAAAAAGCGCCAAATTTACTTTTTATTGATGTCAAGTTTTTCACTTGCACACTCTTACTATCGTCAATGACCTCTACATTGCGACAGAATATGAATTCTGGCGCTACTTTATCCCAGTCCTTTTTTTGAGGCCACTGAAAAATTCCGTTTCTCTCTGTCAGAAAATGTTCAGCAAAAAGAGTAGATTTGTTCACCATTCATCACAATTGATGGTGCCTTGATTATCGGCCATTATCGCCATAACATATTCCCGCTTTGGTCCTGTCTGCATACTTTTTGTTTTCTCGCACATGGAAAGAATTCAAAGCCGTTGATAGTTATCTCAAAGTCGACATGTCATGAGATGCCTGCAGTCGCTCGTATGCCATTAGATTGTAACGCTCTGTTTGCGTCCGTCAAGTCCCGCCGCCGTATGACTAAATAACTTATACTCGCTACTTTCTTCTAACAACTTTTTAGGGCGCGTAAAAATGTGCCCTTTAAATCTGATCGATCGCCGAATAATGGTCAAACAAAAGGTTTCTCAAAACGTGTCAGAGTAAAACCTTTCTGGCCTTTCAAAATTTTTCTGTATAAAAGTTAATACATTTTACGTATAAATATGTGTTTAAAAAGTGATGCTTAGTGCAAAATGAAAAACGGAAACGGCAGTTTTTCCTTAGGTGACGTCAAGTTTGCCTTTCTTTTCATTCTAAACAGATTTCATCGTTAAATCAAGGTGAAATAAAGGGAAGTGTAAAGATCGTTTTAACTTAAGAAAATAAATGTGTTGGTGCACTGTCTAAGAAATTTGCGTGCAGGAATGGGCTGGAATGTCAGCAATTGTCACTTGATAACTGATAAACTTCTTCTGGGCAGTGTTGATTTGTTCTGTTTCCTATTCACAACTATTGTATCACTGACCTATTATCGAGAGATCGTTGGATAGTTGCATGCTTGTTATGAGCTACGCTTCTTCAAAGATCATAAAGTAATTTTCTGATCTTCTTGTTCTATTCTTGAACATTCCACTGTTTCGTAGGTGCTGGGTTAAAAAGCCTATCGGTTATTTGAAAACGGTAAAATTTTGACGTTTTTCAAAAACATGATAAATAAACCAAAAAGAGTTTTAGATGAGTTCACGGCAGCTAGTGGATCAAATGTGCATATATGCGTGCAGCCTTCCAGTATGTACTCGAGAATGATGCACTGACTTGTCATGAAATAGATTTTTACCTCACGGGTCAAATTCACACTTGTGGAATGTAGCATATTATCCCGTTATTCTCTAACAAACTTGTGATTGGGTATAACGGGTGAAGTATTATTAGCTGTTATCAGCTGTTATCCCGTTATTCACTAACAAGCTTGCCATTGGATCTAATGGGTTTGTTATCTGATAACATTAGACTAGCTCTTAGCCAAAGTCGACATGTCATGAGATGCCTGCAGTCGCTCGTATGCCGTTAGATTGTAACGCTCTGTTTGCGTTCCGTCAAGTCCCGCCGCCGTATGACTAAATAACTTATACTCGCTACTTTCTTCTAACAACTTTTTAGGGCGCGTAAAAATGTGCCCTTTAAATCTGATCGATCGCCGAATAATGGTCAAACAAAAGGTTTCTCAAAACGTGTCAGAGTAAAACCTTTCTGGCCTTTCAACATTTTTCTGTATAAGAGTCAATACATTTTACGTACAAAGATGTGTTTAAAAAGTGATGCTTAGTGCAAAATGAAAAACGGAAACGGCGGTTTTTCCTTAGGTGACATCAAGTTTGCCTTTCTTTTTAGGGAGCGCGTCCAAATATCGGTAGGGAACCCGATCATGGGAAATGGACCCGATTAATTTTCCGACTGTTCGGAATCGGTACCGATCTGTAGGCACCAGTTGCCGTTTCCGATTACGATAAAAACTTTGCCGATTTATACATAAAATGAAGCGTGTCACGAAACCAAAAGAGTCGTTTCACTCCAAAGTAATTTGTATCGACTGTACCTTTTTCCTACTCCATAACAAATAACAATAGTGTATGTTCCATGTTGTGTTTCTAGTTTGTTGATTTGATGAGTGCCTACACGTGATTTTCGACGTTTTGCAGAGGTATTTCCTTCAGTCGATCGCAGACATCACGCTGCTCCATAAAATTTATTCTATGAAAATTAAAAGGAGTTAAATATTACGACGCAAAACACCACTGTTCTTCGTTGATACATAGCAAACAAAACACCATACTGAGTAGTGTGTTCTTTACTCGATACTTTCTAACAATGCAATCCAAAAACACAACCAGAACTCACTTTCTCGAAACACAACTGGATGCATAGACTTGTTACAAGTAGACCTCAACGGGTTTCCTAGCGAGCGGAGCGAGAGCAAACCCATGGATAATATAAAACCACGGGATAAATTTTTACGAAAATTTGCGACTTTCATTCAACGATCCTAAACGCAAGGTGCAATGCGATCTGCGGCAAAAAATACCGACCAATTAGATTGCGGCCTAAGATTGTCTCCAGGAAATTAGCAAAAAGAACTGAACGATTCCCACACTCGTGAGTCACGGAAAACACGGAACGAAGTTTCATACAAAGAGAGGATGGCTTAGCGACTTAGCTGTTCTGTGAGCTAGAGAATGGTGCCACGTGAAATTGCTTTCCATTCTCAGCGCTTACGAAAATTTGCACTTGACTCAAGGTGGCTGACTTTTTGACAAAAAGCAAAACCTTTTTTACCGGAGTGTTCAACTAAAGCAAACTGTGCATATATCCGATAAGTTTGACTCAATTTAATAGCGGAAAGAGAATCGAGAAAGAGAAAACCAGTTGAGCGCCTCCATCAGTCACGTTTTTGAGTTCATATGCAACCAGTAAACAACTTGCAGCCTGATTCTCAGACGATGTCCTCTTCTCTCCTGTGGCAATTTAAGCAGTTAAAGAACACAACATGGTAACAACATTTGCATTTTGGTCGTGGATGTTCTGACTTCTTTGTATTTTTTTCTCTTAAAGTCCTAAACTGGTTATTCCTTTAAAGATTTCTTTCATCATGCGATTTGGGTTCCGGTTAGCACGGGCCCAAGCTATTTTAAAATTATCATTTTGAGATCGTACACTTGCGATGTACATTGCGCCGTCTTTCACTCAAAAGATGCTCTTCAGCGTTGTTGAATGACCTGCTGTTTCTTCTCGTGCTCATTTTGATACACAAATTTAATATTTTCTGGTCATACTCCGTCATAGGTAAATACAAACAAATGTTCGAAACTGTGACGTTAAATTTCGGTTCAAACAAGACACATTTATAAGAAAGATAATGTTAATAATAAGAAGAAACACTTTATCTGCTGGTCTACAACATTTAAATTGGAAATTTAACGTGTTTGTGCATCGAGAACCAACATTCACGCTTTTGCTTTTGTGACGGGTTATTTGAGCTGCCAGATATTTTTGATGACCTTTGTTAATTGGCCCGATAAAGACTTGAGACCCGTTGCCGATTCCGACATTCAACAGAATCGGAAAAAATCGGTGCCCAATTGATTGGCATCGGTGTGACCCGATGCCGATATTTGGACGCGTTGCCTTATTCTAAACAGATTTCGTTGTTTAATCAAAGTGAAATAAAGGGAAGTGTAAAGATCGTTTTAACTTAAGAAAATAAATGTGTTGGTGCACTGTCTAAGAAATTTGCGTGCAGGAATGGGCTGGAATGTCAGCAATTGTCACTTGATAACTGATAAACTTCTTCTGGGCAGTGTTGATTTGTTCTGTTTCCTATTCACAACTATTGTATCACTGACCTATTATCGAGAGATCGTTGGATAGTTGCATGCTTGTTATGAGCTACGCTTCTTCAAAGATCATAAAGTAATTTTCTGATCTTCTTGTTCTATTCTTGAACATTCCACTGTTTCGTAGGTGCTGGGTTAAAAAGCCTATCGGTTATTTGAAAACGGTAAAATTTTGACGTTTTTCAAAAACATGATAAATAAACCAAAAAGAGTTTTAGATGAGTTCACGGCAGCTAGTGGATCAAATGTGCATATATGCGTGCAGCCTTCCAGTATGTACTCGAGAATGATGCACTGACTTGTCATGAAATAGATTTTTACCTCACGGGTCAAATTCACACTTGTGGAATGTAGCATATTATCCCGTTATTCTCTAACAAACTTGTGATTGGGTATAATGGGTGAAGTATTGTTAGCTGTTATTAGCTGTTATCCCGTTATTCACTAACAAGCTTGCCATTGGATCTAATGGGTTTGTTATCTGATAACATTAGACTAGCTCTTAGCCTAAGATAATCTTGATCCTGATTGGCTCTAATGGCTGATAACAGGCAATAACAGCTAACAGCAATTAGTCCCAATTATATTGAACGAGTCCCGATTAAATTGAACGGGTGTTCATATTACCTTTATTATAATAATTATTACATCTATTGTTATGAGAATTTGACTTTTGTTCTTCTAACAATATTGTAGGACCATGTCTCACCACAATTTCTACCTGCTGCTGCATAAACAGGAAGCAAGCAGCATTATTTTTTTATTGAGTGTTAGTCCACTTTGAATTTCTTCAAAGTATCTTCAAACTGCCGTACTTCATTTTTACTGTCGTGCACAATAAGTCACAAAGAAACCCACAAACCCCCAAAAGGAAGTTATGGTCTTTAAAACACAGCGGGCAACTGCAACAGCAATTTAAAAGAAAAACATTTGTTAGAACTCGCACAAATGTTTCACTCTGATGCCATTTTGGCCATGTCATTGTAGACTCATTCACTCATTTTAGATTACTAATGTATACTAAATATGTGGACTAGGGCCAATACAAAAGCCATTTAAAGTGACAGTTTTTTACATGTAAAGATATTAAAAGCTGCACTTTCAACTTATTGACAGGCACATGAAAATCAAGCTGAATGCAGCACTTGTCAAGACCTCTCTACAGAGAAGAAAGAACTCAAAAAAGAGATCAAAGTATTGCGATTTAAAGTCACCAGACTGACTAACAAGCTGGAAAGCAACCAAAAGCAGTGGGTGGAGACTTTGCAGGAGATCCAGTTAGATGCATCTAAAGATCATTTAGTGTCAGATTGTGGTGCGTGTTCTGAGTTTGTGTTGGGTTGGGGGGGGGGGGAAGAGTATTCCAAATTGTGGGCTATACAAGACTTTGCAGTTATTCTCATTTGTGCTGTTTATCTTTGATGGATACTCCATGTACATTAATAAAAACGCAGTCAACCCTTGGTTTGCAAACAACATCCAATTTTTTTTCCCATTTAGTACAAATTACAGAAACTATTCCATCATATAAAATAAATAATGTATTTGTCGTTGATAGGCTACAAATATAGATAGTCTAAGCCATAATGATTCCTTTTCTCTAGATAACACAGCACAAGCTCACAATGCTAATTCCACTGTGTTTGGTGACCAGAATAACAGTGTAGATGACTTTACAGAGATTAGTGATGACAATGAAGAGCCAGAGACTGATGATGATCCTGACTGGACTCCTGAAAAATTAGATGAAGTCTATCCAGAATTAGGAGACGATAATGTGAATGACAGCCAAACAACAAAGCCTAGGTACTGTATAGGATGTACCATAACTTACTAGTTAATGTAGACATACGCATGCAAGTGTGGTCCATCTTGTCTTGAATAAAAATCTCATTATTTGTGAAGTAAAAAAAGGGAGAAGAAGCCTTTCTACCCCCCTATCCCTTCCTAAAAAAGGCACATCCACCACAGTGACACCATTAAATGTGTTGTCCTGGAGATATACATGTATTAGTACGTTAAGAGAGAGTACCATACACTAATTATTTCTTTGTATGACTTTAAATGCATCTTCCCTGACTTGACATTGGATGAAAAATGGGAAATATCTGACTCATTTCTAAAATTACTATTATTATTTATCACACAACAGGCTGAACTGCACAGGAAAGAACAAGCGTGAGGAGGCTAAAGGCATTGTTTTTTTATCCAAGCTATTACTACTGTTTCAGTACTGCCATTATTGTCTTACTCCCAACCCTGAAACTGTTTGCACACAAACAGGAACTCTATTGACCATTAAAGCCAAATGCAGCAGTTGTCAAGAGATATTTACCTGGGAAAGCCAGCCATTCCTTATGGGCAAATTTCCAGCAGGCAACCTTCTCACCAGCTTTGCAACTCTTTGTGCTGGAGCATCAATAAAGAAAATGTTGACAGCGTTTCGGCACATGGGGGTACTTGTCTACAATGAGCCCACCTACTACTACCATCAGCGGCATCTCCTCATTCCCACTATCATCTCATTCTGGCGTAAATACCAAACAAAACTGCTGGATTCCCTGAAAGGAAAAGAAGTAGTTTTAGCAGGAGATGGGCACCACGACAGCATGGGCTACTCAGCTGGATTCCCTGAAAGGAAAAGAAGTAGTTTTAGCAGGAGATGGGCACCACGACAGCATGGGCTACTCAGCAAAATATGGCACTTATACTATATTTTATTGTACTGTTGGCCTTATTATTCACATTGTTTTATTACAGGCAAGTGAAAAAACCTCATAAAAATCATACAGTCATGTAGTAAAACCAAACCCAAAGCAAGGGTAAATTAAATTTCAATAATTATTATAAATATCTATGAACTGCAGAATTAGAAAAGCAAGGCCATGTTAAAGAAATGTGGTCAAAAGACAAAATCTGAATGCTTGGACTGAAAAAAAAAATCACATTTATAACAAAACACCCTTCTGTCTTGTATTTTCTAGGCTAATCAGGCAGGAAGCAGTTCTGGTATCGAGTTTATGGCCTTCAAGGAAGCCATGACATATATTCTAGCCACAGGCATGATTGTCAAGTCATTTATCTCTGACCGCCATGCTTCCATTGCTAAGTGGATGAGAGAAGAATGTGGAAAGAAGTGTGCTGAACTTGGCAAGCCAGTTATCAATCATTTTTTTGATCTTTGGCTCATTGGGAAAAGTATGCAAAAACAATAAGTAACCTAGTATGTTTTCATCGTATGTAATCATATACTTATATCAATATTACCATTACTTCTTTTTATTATAGTTATTGTCGTACCTTACCCTAGGGCACAGTGCAAAAAACCTATGACCTAGAATCTGTAGTGAAATAGTACTCACATTATCAGAGGAGACAATGTCTCTGCTTCTCTGCGCCTTGATCAAATTTATTGTACATGTATATTGTAGAAAAGCACTTAATGTTGAATTGTTTTGCTATTTTCACAGAAATCCAAAAAGTTCTAACAAAACTGAGCAAGGAAATAAAATTGTGAGATCGTTGGAGGAAGGCCTGTGTTAGACATTTTTACTGGGCAGTGACCTCGACTCAAGAAAGTCTTGGAAAGGTCAAGGTTTCAAAGTTCCAAGCATTCCTCAGTCATGTCATCAACAAACACAAGAACCTTCCTAATAGGCTCTTCAATGCTTGTGCTCACGGTGAAGTCATCACACAAAAAGTATGGATGTCTAAAGGTACAAAAGCCTCACTTGCTGCCGCACTCTATGTTGACCTTATTATGTTGACCAAACGTCTTGGATATAGGACTACATAACTGTATCATTGCAAAGCTTGGTTGAGCTATTTTTGGTCATGTTCAAGAATTTCAGCCCCATCTGCTCAAATGCAACTAGAAACTGTCAACAATTGAAAAAAATATGAAAAATATGAGATATCACTGTCCTTTTTCTATTTTCCACTAAATAAAAAAATAATTTACAACTAGTGACCACCTGATTTATAAATTTCATCTAAAAACCACAATATGACAAACATTTCCCCTGTATTGCTGCCTTACTAAAGGAATAGAAAAAGCTTCCTCAGTTGAGCAAACAAGCTGCCTGGAAGGGTATCATTCAGTAGTCAACCAATTTGCCCCAAAGATGCTGGCCTACTCATACCTGGGAATGCTTTGTAGGTACGTGAAATTGAAGGCTTATGTATTTAAACATAGCAACACTAAAGTTAATCTTGAAAAAGTATGAGGAAAGGCACTGGGATGCTGCCTTTTTTGATAGATATAGGCAGTTTGCAAAACTGGTAGAACTTGTCACATAATTTAATACATTCTGATTACTTTGTACCTTTCTCTCTTCCTCTTCTTTTTTTTTAAGATCAGTACTGGCTGCCCTTCATTTTAATTACAATCTCAGAAGAGAGACAAAGGTGGATGACCAGGGCCAACCACGCCTTCACATCTCATACCCAAAGTACAAGGAAGGAGAAGCAACAGTCAGGGAAGTCAGGGTAGCTCCTAATTATGGTGAGTCTTTTATAAGGACCATTGCAGCAAAGTATACCTGTAAGTTTCCAAGTTGGACAACTTTAAAATGATGTCTATTCTTAAAATCAAATATCTACATGTACAGGTGTACATCAACAGGTTTCCTGGTATTATCATGACTGCAGACAGGTTAGCTGCTGTCAGAAAATATTGAGCAATTTAATTTAGCTATGCTAATAAGCTACTACTTATGATGTCTTGTAATCCACAGTTCCTTTCTAGAGAGAGTAAAATATAGATTCTAATAGTCACAGTTAGTCAAAAAGTGAACTTACTTCAGCTTGTGAAGTCGTTATGCAAAGTACTTTCCTGAAGAATTTTTGTAACTGCCTTTCCTCTTAGAGTATGTGGCGGAGATTTATGAATCTCTAATAACAACTCCACGACGGAACCTCCAACTGATAGAAGAAGAGCTAAAACAGGTGGTTCCAGACCCCATGCACTCAATGCTTGAGAAGCAATCCAAAGACGATGCAATACGGAAACACAATGAAAGAAAAAACAAGGAAACAGTGATTTGTCCTCCAACATGTTCAGGTAAAATGTCTTGGCAATGCAATACTCGCTCTAGGTTTTTCATCAACATTTTCATCCAAACACTCAAACATTGTACTGAATTTGAAGCTGGGAAACAGGTTTTCAGAAGCAATAATTTTTATATTAATCTGTATGAAAAAAAAAAATTTCTTTCAGTTGTAATTTTACTTGACTTTCACCTGATTATCTACAGAAGCTGAACTGCAAACCTTGTTAGAGGAAAGTGACCAGTCAAGACCAATGTCAAAAACAAATACAAGCAGAAGAAGAGGGAGAGCACAGCTATGCAGAAAATGTGGACAGCCAAGAAGAGGACACACATGCACTGCTTCACAAAATGATTAAATGCTACTGAAGTTACAAAGAAAAACCTGATAATCATTTATTTTTGATTACACTGTACTGTTCTGAGATAAATGACCTAAATATTCATGGTACACATCATTGTTATTATTTCATTTTTTGGAGAAAAGAGAAGCCAAAATATAACAGGCTCTGTACTGCTCATATTAATCACTTTGCAAATCACAAGTCTTGAAATGATGGTTCACGTAATGTATGAAAAAAAATATACAAAATAATGATAATGAACACTATCTATGATTCGTCATTTTCAAAGCCATGATACTGGCCATCTTCACTCAGAAAGGCTGTCCTTATTGCTTTGTAAGCACAACATGGCAGTGGATGACGCTTGGAACGTCCCGTAAACTCCCAAAGAAGGCGAGTAAATTGTCTGTACGACACTGATCGAAGAAACCTAAAGAAAAATAATGAGAAAGATATGTACAGTTTCATATGCTTGACTGGTGGAGTTTTTTTGTCACTTGTGGCAGCTTATTTGTTTAGGCTGTTGTTTCATCATGCATGGTTTTTCGTTAAAAAAAATACAATAATATGAGTTTTTGGTTGACTCTGTATAATAAATAGACTGGGATGCAATAGACTGTAGTAGAAATAAGAATAAAATATAACTGTTAAGCGTTTATTTGTTGACAAACGGGGCTTTGAGTATAATTTAACCTTATTATTTTACAAAATAATAAATAAATTGTTTACTTTCACTTATGAGACACCCAGGTGAACAATAAGAACAACAGAAAAAAAAATCATGAAACGATTGACTCACTCTGATTCCGTTTTACGACCTTGACTGAAAATAGCCCGGTAACTTTTTCCAGCTTTGGTCTTCAGGATAAGCGATGCCACTTCAGGAACCCATCGGTTTAGGCAAACATCCTGAAACCCGGGAAGCAAAGTGATACAATCACCTGCCCGTTCTATATTTTCCATTACTTCCCCCACACGATCTATTTCCTTGCAACAAATGCATTCTTCCTTCTTGGTGGCTATGTCGACCGAACAGTTCGAACAAGTGCACCTACAAAACAAAAATAACGTGTTCTCCGTTCAGTATTAGAAACACGCAATCAAAATTATGAAACAAATTCGAATTTATGGGCGAATTCCACCATAACACAAAAGATTTAAAATGAAAAAGAACTGCTTAGAAATACAATCTGAGTCATGCCTACCATGTGCCGACGTCTAATTCGCCAGTAAAGCGCCTTTGAAGCACGAGCTCCCATTCTTCCTCATTAGCCACACTTAGCGTGTATGCGGCAGCCTCTTCCTCGGTCGCGACTGGCTCCAGTTCCTCATCATACGGGACGAAAGCTGTCCCATCGTCGTCTAAAATTTCACTGTTTTCGTCAGAACTTGAACCAGATCGGTCTTCCGAAGAAATGCAAGAAGAAGACGTGGGAGACAACATCATAACAACTAGCTAGTATAGGTTTTGGTCGGCTTTGCAGCGATATCAGAATATTTTGGAGATAACGTGACGTCACGATAGCAAAGCCGCTCAACTCAATTCGTCGCCTCGAGTAGTTGTTTTTGTAATGGTGGACCAATTTTATGCACTTTCAGACAGCCTTTTTAAGGAACCTTCTTCGTTAGGTTGGTCTGAATCACATTTTCTTGAAGTTTTAAGTCTAAATACTAGCTTCGGGCCCAAAAATGTTAGTTTAAAGAGATTTGATTTTCGTCGCAGTGGCACTTAAAAAGAACAGGAGCTGATGAAATAAGTGTTTGTAAAAATGGTAAGCTGATCATAAGAAGGTGTTCGTTTTTAAAATGAGATAAAAGTCTTATAAAGAAAGCAACTTCAAATTACAAAGGTAGCCACAATATCAGTAATTAATTAATGTAAGTGTCCAAGGAAAAAAAATAAAAAACGAAGCAAACCCAAACAAAACCAAAAACAGCATATTGAAAGGTTTACAATAATTGTGTTTGATGATTTAGCGATACCAGTTAACAGTTCTCCATTTAAAAATGGAAACTTCCGTTTAAAGATGGAACTGGAGAGTAAGGCCTTTTTCCTTGGGATATTTCACTGATAATCCAATCAGAACGATCTATTGTAAGTGCTATTAAGTGTGTGGGATCATCCCGCATCTAAACCAATCAAATGGGGACAAAGATACGTGATATTTTGGAATGTTGGGATATATCGCATATGACCCAATCAGTGACTCTCTTATCATACCAGTAACTTCACACCGTTTCCGATCTTAAAATAAATAAAAGATAAGACATCTACTATCAGGTTACAAGGGCATTTACACAATGAAGATAAAGACATACTGTCACCGTTCCACATAAACTTAACGCAAAATCCGTCAGTTTGGATATGCGAGAATTGAAGGGTTTTGTTGTTACTCAGCAATTTGATAGCTTGTCGGCCGACCAATTTCCTCACAGGCGCTAGGATACGAAGCCAGAAGACGTGAGAGAATTCTTAGACGCAAAAAAAAAAGTCAAAAATCGATTTGGTAATAATAATAATAACAATCTTTTAATAGGATGCTCCATCACAAGAGTGGTTTACATAGAGGTCCTAATTACGAGATGTATATTATATAATACAATTAAAATATAAAAAGGTTAAAAAAAAAAAAAATTCAAGCTAAAATCGAGTTACAGAAATAATTAAAACATACACACTACAAGTACTCAATTATAAAAAGCAGAAAAAAGACACTTCTTAAAAATTGGAAAACTTGCTGAGTTTCTTACAGTTCTCTCTAATTCATTAAAGTCTTTGAAACAGTGGTACCGCGAATGTTGTTTTCCCCAATTATATTTAATTTTGGGGAGCTTGATAGTATCGTTATTGCGCGTATTGTAGGAATGTATATCACTCTTTTTTACAATGTCCAAAGAATGATTAAGTTGGCCATTAATACACTTGTATGCATATATACATCGATGACATTTCCTACGTTCTTCAAGATTCAGCCATCTCAAGACAATCAATGCATCGGTGGATGAGGAGTGAGGTGATCTATCTAATATCAACTTAGCTGCTTTGTTTTGGAGAATTTGCAATTCCTTCATAAGTGAGACATTGTCCTTGTCACCCCAGACTAAATCAGCATAATCAAAAATAGGTAGCACTAAGCTATTATAAAAAAGTAACCGGGCATCATAAGGTAAATAATACTTAATCCTACGTAGAAGACCAAGGTTTTTATTAACCTTACATGAAATATACTCAATATGGTCGGACCATGTGAAAGTTGAAGACAACATAACTCCCAAATATTTAAAACTACTTACAGAATTTATATCAGTGTCAAAAATAGATAACGTGAAAGAGGAAATACCAACAAGTTTCCTATTACTGCCTATAATCATGGATTTCGTCTTAGTAAGATTTAAAGTTAACTTATTTCCATGTAACCACTGGGCAACTTTCAAGAGATCATCATTCAGTGCCTCTTCTAACAGGTGTGGCTCTTTAGCAAAGTAGTACAGGACCGTGTCATCAGCATACAAAGTCACTTCGCAATTCTTTATAACCAGCGGAAGGTCATTAATATAAACCAAGAAGAGAAGCGGTCCTAGAATGCTCCCCAGTGGCACCCCAAAGGTCATCGGGAGAGGGTCAGACACAGCATCACTACAGGCAGTCCGCTGTTTACGATGATTCAGGTAAGACTTGAACCACTGTAGAGTGCTGGGCAAGACACCGATAGCCGACAATTTAGATAGCAAGATCGTATGGTCAACGGTATCGAATGCCTTGGTCAGATCTAGGAACACTGCACCGCACAGTTCTCCACTCTCCATATGCAATAGGACCTCATCTGCAAAACT